AAAAAATCATCATGAAAAGTTCCAACTTTGAGCAAATTAACAAAAAAAAATTACAGCTAAGCTGTCGACTAGTGATGTTTTCTGAATCCCGTGTGGCTGCAGGTCACAGCAACACTGAATAAAACACATTTTTAAATGAGACACATGAAATAAAGTGATTTCTGATTAAATAACCCGATTTTAAGCTCAGATTTGGTTAAATTTGTTCACTAATTGACTAAACGACATGTGGCATGAGTAGTTCAAGGCCTACAGGAAAGGTGAGTTCTGTTTCTTACAGTTTCTGGTTCTGATAAACGGCGCATTTGGCAAATTTCTAACTCGCCTCGTAAACCCACCAGCAGGTTCTGTGTTCGGACAGTAAACTGGACTTCTGTCAAATCTCCTGCAACTCTGAGGTTCATCTGGACTGACCTGAGACCTGATCCGTGAACTTTCCTGTTTCTGAAAACAAGTTAAAGAAGCAAAAGAAGCATCAGTGGCTTCAGTAGTTTTACATCAAGAAAAGAAGCCACAAACAAACACGAGCCTGTTGCATCAGTAAGTACAGGCAGCAACAACCTGAGATGATGAAACGTTTCTACAGATCGTGTTTCTGAACAGGCTGCAGATGTGACCACAGCTGGATGGTGCTGTACCTCTCAGCTCTCCTCCGTCGCCGTCGTCTCTCTGTTAAAGGCTAAAGCGGCTGAAGGCCAGTTTATCTGCTGCACATCTCCGGATCTTGTCGACTCCCATCAAACGAGACCGGAGTCCTTTTCTCTCCCGTGAGCTCCGGCCTTCACCTCCCGCTCGGCTTCGCTGCAGCGTCGGCTCGGAGCATCTCGTCATTCGTCCTCGTCACAACGTCCACAGGTTGATTCCTGAGCTTCTCTGTGAAACCAGAGGGAAGCTGCAGACCTTCTCACTGGTTTCTTATCATTTAGCCCTCAGAAAGCTGCTGGAAGATTTAAAATGAACTACAGCGTTTGTCAGAGTCGGAAACTGTAAAAACAGAAACAACAGTCGACCCTGAACTGTCCCATCAAAAAAAATTCACCAAGATTAATACGTTGGTTTGAACAAACTGCTCTCCTCAGAGGAGCTGTAAAGTCAGCAGTGACCAACATCCAGGTGGCTAAAAGTCTGACTTTTGGCTGAACTGCAGGAAGTGTTTATAAAGAGCACAACGTGAGCAGTCAAACATCTACAGCAGGTGCTCCAGCAACAGCTTTGGTTTCGGGTTGTTACCATCCATCTACATCCCAACCCTCACCTGTGGTCACCAGCTTTGGGTCGTGACCAAAACAACGAGATCGTGGATAGAAGTGACCAAATGGGCTCAGCCTGAGAGATAGGAGGAGCTCGGAGTAGAGCCGCTGCTCCTTCATGTTGACAGGAACCAGTCAAGGTGGTTTGGACACCTGATTCCAGGGAGGCTTCCTCTGGAGGTCTTCCAACCACGTCCACCCGGGAGGAGACCCCGGGGCAGACCCAGAACCCGCTGGAGGGATTCTATCTCTGGGCTGGCCTGGGAACGCCTCAGGATCCCCCAGGAAGACCTGGAAAGCATCGCCGGGGGGAGGGAGGTCTGGAACGACCTGCTCCACCTGCTGATCCTGCAACCCGACCCGGACAAACAGAAGATAATGGATGGATGGATGGTTTTGGGTTGTTTCAATTGTTGGAAAATAAATAAAGAAACTCGACTTTCATTTAGTCTTCCTTTACACGACATATGGTTTTATAACTGACGACATCTCTGAGTCTGTCCTTCTGGTCCTGGTTCTTGTGTTTCCATGGAGGTGCTGGACTTTATGTCGGAGTGAAAACGAGTAAAAACTGCGACAGAAGCACAAAAATGTTCAGAAACAAGCAACAAAAACCTGGAGGATGAGACAGCTGCTGCTGTAAATGAGCTTTTTCTTAAATATGAGGTTCATGCTGCATATTTAAAGCAATTTATATTTTTGATTTTAGCTCCAAAAACTGAAACTCGACCCAACAAATCTTCTATTAAAATGTCATGATGCAGCATCGGCGGTGCAAAGTGTTAAACGAGTGCTATTTACGACAAGTTGAAGAGGTCAGAGCTTCGAATAAAACACGATCCGCCGCAGAAAAATCACATTTATCTGATACAAAGCTCGAGAAAAAGCCTGAACAGGGATGTACGGGAGGAGGTCGCAGTGAAACAACCTGCTTCTTCTTCTTCTGAAACCATCAAGGAGGGAAACTGCAGACGAGAGCAACGCTGCTGAGCGAGCAGTGGCTGAGCTGTCAGAGGAGACGGCGGGATCGCTGCCCTCTGTCAGCATCCTCGGGCTCCAAATAACCGAAAAGCAAACATGTCCGCCCAACTTTGGGCTGCTCGGGGCCTCTGAAGCCGCCGGAGTGAGGGGAGAAGATGGAGTGATTGCAAATGGGAAAACTCTGGAGCAAACAGAGAACTGAGAAGCTGTCAGGCTGCTTCTCCGAGTGTCAGCCGACAGCACAGATCCGACCTAAAGGTTAGCGAGGAGAGGAGGTAAATCTGGGCATGGCGAGGTAGAAAAACAACAGCCGCCCCAGCACCATTAACACGGCTTTAACTTCTTCATTATCTGGAAATAACCGTGGATTCCTCGTGGGAGCCGGTTAAAAATGTGAGCGGGTGGAATTCATTTCAAGTTGAGGAGGAAGTTTTTGAGGAAGAAGAGTTTTGACAAGTTGCACCGACGCGTCACCGTGATTTGATGCTATAAATAACATCAGCAGGTCTGACTGATGAAAACCCTGCAGGCTGAAAACAGAAGCTTCCCGCCAACAGTAGTTTGTCCCAAGACAAAGCCACGATTATCTGTAGGGTTAAGAGTTAATCTGAAGGCAAAACCTGATTCGCAACCAGCACGACTACTGTGTAGAGTTTAGGGCAACGCCTGCTGC